CTTGCCAGGGAAGCATTTATTCCACTAAGCTATCTTCCCGGCCCCTTACTTTGTATTTTGAGATAGGGTCTCACTAAATTGCCCAGGCTAGGCTGCAATCTGCAATTGTTGGGCCTCAGCTTCTCACAGTGTTGGGATTATAATTCTTTGCCTCCATATCTCTGGCCCTAAGGCTATTTGCTTATTTTCAGCTGTTTTGTTTGAAATAGGATGCTGCTGTGTTGCCCAGGCTTGTCTTAAACTCCTGAGTTCAAAGAACTATCCTGTCTCTGTCTCCTGAGTAGCTGGGACTATAAGAGTGTACTATCATACCTGGCCCTCCTAAAGTTTGGTTGGTTCGGTTCTGTTTGATTTGCTTTTCATTATTGGATATTTAAACCAGGTATGGTGGTGCACACCTGTAATCCCTGCACTCCGAACTCTGAGGCAGGAGGAGCACTACAAGTTTGAGACCAGCCTGGGCTACAAAGTGAGCGCAAGGCCAGCCTGAACTGCATAGTGAGACCCTGTCTCAAAAAGACCAAAAAAGAAAAACATTATTGGGGATTGAATCTAAAGCTTTGGCTTTGAACTATAGCATCAGCCCTTTTTATGATTTATTTTGAGACAGCATCTCATTAAGTCACCCAAGCTGGGGTCAATCTTGCAATCCTCCTGCCTCAGCTCCATTATCCCCAAGGATTGACTGACCGATTGATTGATTGATTGATTGATTGATTATATATTTAGTACAGGGTCTACAGGGTCTTACTACACAGATTGGACCCGTAGTGATTCTCCTGTTTTCAGCCTCCCGAGCACTGGGATTATAGGCACATGCCACCTAGGCCCAGTCTCAGTTACCTCTCAGCACCCCTGCCGGGGGTGGGGGGCAGCATGGCAAGCTGGGGATGGAACCCCGGGTAACTGTGCCTGTGTCAGCAGGTGCTTTAGTCCCCTGAGCTATCTGGCAGCCTTTCCTCAAGGTTTTAAAGCATGTTTCTGGGGTTATTTCAGATAATCAAATGAGACTTGGATCACAATGCTCAGCCCAGAAGCCAGGCAAAGGTGGTGCACACTTAGGGAGGCTGAGACAGGAGAATTCACAAGTTGGGGTCCCACCTGGATAACTTACTAAGATCCTTCCTCAAAATTAGGAAAATACTATTAACAAAAACAAAGACGACTGGGCTGGCCAAATAGCTCAGCGGATTAAAGCACCTGCAAGCAGGTGCAGGGGCCAGGGATTCAATCCCTTGACCTGCCTCACTGGCCCCACCCCTGAGACGCGCTGAGATGACAATTGAGACTGGGCATGGTGGCGTGCGCCTGTAATCCCAGTCTTGGGAGGCTGTAAACAGGCGGATCACTATGAGTGCCATCTAGTAGTGAGACCCTGAGCACCCTGTAGACCCTTCCCTGAAATAAAAAATAAAAGGGACTGAGGTCATAGCTCAGTAGTGAGACAACACTGGTTTCAATCCCCAGTACTGGGGAGGGGGTGGAGAAAAAGAGGATCATCCAGGTCACAGAGCAGGAAGCATGCCCCCCACAGGACAGGCCCACCTCATTCTAAGAGATGCAGGCTGTGAGCTAACGTGCCAGCTGTGGCATTGCCCCCCACTCAGAGCACCTCATCAGACCAGGGCTGCACATGGGCTGAAGCAGGTACCAAGGAGGACAGCAAGGCTCTGAGAACATGGGGAGCACCGGGACCCTGTGACTTGATCTGAAGCGTCTCTCGATGGTGCTTGTCTTTTACCTTGCTCTTCGAGTTGTCCTTGCCTACTGGGCAGGGGTCTCCTTTCTACAGGAGACTGGAGAAAAAACTTGAATTAGTGATCCCAGGTGAAAAGAGTGAATTGACCTACTATGGGAAGCACTTCCAGTAATCCCTATCCCCTGCTGCCACGCCATCCCCTAAGTGCTAGGTGAAATAGGGCTTAAGGGTAAAATGCAAAGCTTTACCCAGGAAAGGATATTTAAAAGGAAAGCAAAAGAACCTCAGCATGTTGAGCAAAAGGTGAGACTACCAGCCCAGCCCAGATGCATGCTTGAGGCTGATGTTTTAACACCTTCACAGGGGTGAAAGCCAAAGCCATAGACCCTGCAGAGATCTGGGACAGGGAACTTGGCTCCCCTTAAAAGGCTAAGAAAAGGCAAAATTGTTGCAGATATGGGCTATGAACTTGTTTTTTGTTGGTTTTGTTTGGTTTTGTTTTGTTTTGTTTTGTTTTGTTTTGGAGACAGGGTCTCTATGCAGTTTGGGCTGGCCTTGTACTCACTTTTGTAGCCCCCTGGCTGGTCTCCAACTCACAAAGATCCTCCTGGCTCAACCTCCCAAGTGCTGGGTACAGGCATGGGCCACCATGCCCAGTTCCAGGGCTGCACAGTGGGCGCCCACATCCGGGGCTGAGACGGCACGCCCAGGCATCACGGGCCAGGACCGCACAGCATGTGGGGCCAGGGATCAAGCTCAGGTCCTTGCGCTTGTTGCCAGGTAGGCATTTATGCCTCGGAGCTATCTTTCTGGCCCCAATATGAACTTTCTTTCCACCTTCAAACTGGGAAGCCCAGAGTTAGAAGCTTACACAAAAATTAGTGTGGAACAGAGGGTTCTACGAGGCTCCCACAGAGGCAATCAAAACCACCCCACAGAGGGGTTTATTCCGACCAGACACAAGTCCCACTGAAGACCAGCGTACAGACAGAATTTCAGAGCATTCAAGAGCATTTGAGGACATCCACACAGAAGAGGAGCGTGGCTGCCAAGCGTGACAGAGAGGGCTGCCCAGCTGCCCACCTGCCCATGTTATGGGTCGCCATGATGCGGAGTGCCTCGGTGGCCTTTATCCGAACCAGGGTATCACTATCCTTCAGCAACGCTGTCAGACTCTCCAGACAACCTACAAGGCAAAGAAAGAAAAAAGGCCTTTAATATTTTCCAGTCCCAGAAAATAACTAATTGACCCAGAAGTCAGTATGTGAGCAGATGTTGGGCAATAAGAAAGTACCATGGGTTTTCTTGTTTGGAGAGCTAGGGAATTGTGTTCATTATACAGTACTTGGAAGCTACTGCAGGGACACACACCCTAAGAGCATCTCATCTAATCCCCTTCACTATACACCTTGAATGCTTTCTACTAGCTCCTTTTTATTTATTTATTTTTTTTCGGTACCAGGGATTGAACTCAGGACCCTGTGCTTGCCAGGCAGGCACTTATTCTACTGAGCTATCTCCCTAGCCCCTAGCTTCTTCTTTTAAATAAAATGTCCTTTGATATTTCATTGACCCCAGGAGAGACATGTGGTTAAATTATTAACCCCGTCCTACACTGGTACCTTGACCTAGGTGAATAGTTACACCTAGGGATGCAAGATTTAACCTGTAGGACTCCTGCTTAATTTATCAATTAGGTAATCTCACACTCATGTCCGATCCCTTAAGGTCTTTTTTTTTCCCCCAGTACTGGAGGTTGAATCCACGGATGATCTATTATTGAGCTATAACCCCATCCCTGGACAATTTTTAATATGAGGCAGGGTCTCACTAAGTCGCTCAGGATGACCTCCAAGTTATAATCCTCCTCCCTCAGCCACCCACATAAGTGAGGTAACAGATCAGTGTTCATGGCTGAACACTGATCTTCTTATCTATAAGATAAGAAGATCAGTGTTCATGGCTGAACAGTGTTCATGGCTGAACACTGATCTTCTTATCTATAGGGTATGAATTTTTCCTCCCTTTCTGGTGCTCACCGTGAAGACTACAATAAGGAAAACACTGAAATTAGGGCACAGCTCACTCAAAGTCAGGCTCATCAAATAGCAATACTTATTGTGGAAGTTCCACCCAGTGTCTAAGCCATGCAAGAACCCCAGTCATGGTCACCCGGGCTACGATACTCTCACCTATGTTGATGGCCTGGTAGACATACTCAGGGTCGTGCATGAGGTCACAGAGGGCCATGAGGGCTTTCTGCCTTGTCTCCAGGTCCTCTGACTGCAGCTCCTTGTTCAGATTGGGCAGGGCCCAACAGCCATAGGCAATGTCAGCCTGGGTGGGATTGATGTTCGGAGGCAGGTACATGGAGATACGAGCATGCGCCATCGTTCCTTTTCAAAGGGCTTTCAAAATTAAGCTTTGCAGAGACCACTGATTAAAAGAATCCAAGAAGCTGTTGTTATTACTACTGTAATTTACAAGCTACTTTTTATCTGAACCTCAAAAGTGTGAGGGCAGGTAGATAGGCATTTTTATGCCTATCTTACAGATGAACAGAGTCTGAGAATAATAAAGAAAGAGATTTGTGTAAGGTCACAGTGAAGGTTAAATAGCAGCTCAAATTCCAAACCTCAAGACTTCTCCCATGCAATAGTCCTTTTGTTTTAAATTTTATTTAATTTTTATTTATTTATCATCATTATTATTATTATTTTATGTATTCAGTACAAGGTCTCACTGTGCAGCTCAGACTCGTAGTGATCTTCCTGTTCTCAGCCTCCCCAGCACTGAGATTATAGGTGTGCACCTGAGCCGGTTTCAGTGACTGACTCAGCATGCCTGGGGGGGTGGGGCCCGTGCGACATGCAGTACTGGGGATCGAACCCTGGTCCCTGTGCTTGCCTAAACAGGCACTTAGTCCACTGATCTATCTCGCCAGCCCTGCAATAGTTCTTAATAACAGAAGGAACCACTGCAGTACTTTACAGGCTGGGGCCGCAGTCACTGGCACTGAAATGACAAAACAGATCAAACAAGTAAACATCAGCATAATCTCTCCACATGGTGCTTATTTGGTACCAGCAATAATTAGTACCTAATTCACCTACACAAGCCAGACCTAGTGCCTCATGCTTGTAATCTCAGCCCTCGAGCAAGGTGAGGTTGGGTGACTCCAAATTGGGAGCACAGTGTGGGCAATTTAGTGAGTTGGTGATACCCTGTCCCAAAATTTAAAAATAAAATTAAGGGTCAGCCAAATAGCTCAGTGGATTAAACTGCCTGCTTAGGCAGATGCAGCAGCCAGGAGTTTGTACCTGTAATCCCAGCTTGGGAGGTTTTAAACATGAGGATCACTACGAGTCTGATCTATGCAGTGAGACCCTGTGCACCCTACATACCCTGTCTTAAATACAATAAATAAATAAATAAATAAATAAATAAATAAATAAATGGGATAGGGATGTAATTCAATGCAAAGGCCCTGAGTTTAATCCCAGGAACCAACAAAATTAAACACCTACACTATAAGGAGAGGACTTGTATTATCTGTAATTGACAAATGAGAAAACTGAGGTTAAAATCTTGCTAGATGTCACCCCGTTGGTAAGGCTAGGAGTCATTGTTCAAATCCAGCCCTAGCTAGCTCATTCACTTGTCAAAGACCCACATTCAGATGCTCAGGACACATCATCAGAAAGGATTTAAGGTTAAAGTATGACCTGGGGTTTCTGCCACGTTCACAACAAGCAGCTGTAGGCATGGTGGCCTACTGCTGACTGCAGGGCCACGACACGGGTGGCCCTTGACAAGTTACTTCCTCCATCTGTGATTTTTGTAGCTGCAAAAGGAGGTAATAATAGTACTCCTTGTCACCCTTCCAGTGTAGTCCTATTAACTGATACCCATGACCTGGCTCGCCTGAGCCTGAGCTAGGCTGGCTGTGATTATTACGATCATTGTAATTGCATTTAGTCACATGGACAGAAATCTCCCCAATAAAAAGTGAACCAGATTCTGAGACTGGCCACCAGACAAGGAGAGAAGAAAGGCTGGGCTGGGAAGGACCCTGCCATATCTAATCTGAGTCCCCTTCTTGGAGACTCAGGCATAGCAACAGGGGCCCGCCCTCCTCCAAAGGGTGCGCTGAGGGAGTACACCCACAAAAGAAAAGGTGTGTCCTGGGGTCTGAGGACGTTGGGCCCCTGTGAGTGAGACTGGGTAGGTCAGGGAGCGCCCCTGATTCCCAGGCCCCTCACCCACCGCCACCACCTCACCTGCCTCAGCGCGGTCTCCTAAACCAGCCGGCTAGTTGCCAGGCAACTCCCCAGCGTCTGAAGCGCCCAGGTCAACTCACACGGAAACCACTGCGCAGGCGCGAGCGCCCAGGAGGCGAGGCCGGTTGCAAAGTGGAACGACAGTATTTTACAGGTTTATTGTGGAAGAACAAAGGCTGCTCAGCTTTGTTCAACGTAAGAAAAGAAAGCGATTTCTTTATCTCTTTTTCTGTACTGGGCATCTGCATGCCTTTGATCATGAGACACAGCCTCTGCAGTTTGAGGATAGCAATCTCAAGAGATTCTGTCCTTCCTCCAAATCACACATACCTGACCTAGGACTGCCTAGCCCCGGCCCACGCCCCTGGCTCTGCAAATCGACCACCTAGTAATGACAAAGATCAACTCCTACAGTGGGCCAAATACACCCGTGGCTAGTAGTTGTTCGCAAGCGCAAGACAGACCCAGCCACCACCTGCTTAAAACACTCGGGTGGCTTCTCGTTGGACTTAAGCCTGAGTCCCTACTGCTACACACACACACACACACACACACACACACACGCCAAGCTTATGCCCAAGTCCGTAAGAGTTAGTTTCTTCCAACCATGGTGGACTCACCCAATTGTCCCATTGGTACACACCCTTCTCTCAACTCTCTAATTACTCTTCCCTGCCTGGGGGCTGGGGATTGAACCCAGGGCCTGAGCTATACTAGCCGACCATTCTATCACTGAGCTACCACCACAGCCCTCCATTTACTTCTTTTTTTTTTTTTTTTTTTTTTTTTTTTTTTTTGTAAAGACTGCTTTATTGGTGACAATTAGTACAAGTCGATAAATATTGATCCCCAACGAAAAGCTCAGTTATTTATCATATTACTGATCCAGAGAGCCAACTGGAGCTGAGCCACGTAATTACTGAACTGCCTGAAATCATTCCGGCTTCTTGGGAAACGATGCCATAGCCAGCTGGTATATGGCATACACGGTTCCACCCACTGTGAGAATCATAGTGGCTCTACACAAGAGGGCATCAGCTACCCCACCCTTTAGATGCATTGGAATTCCATTGTCCTCCCGAAAAAGCTTCTGTTTCTGTGGAACTTTATTTTCAAAATGCCTGCGTGCAGCAGTGCTGATGGTCCTCTGAGAAAGCTGCCGGAGAGCCAGCAGACTCCGCAGCATCTTGCCGGTTACAGCGCGCCAGCCGGGACGCCCGACCACCAGGAACAGAAGCCGCCAGGGCCGGAACCGGAAACCCCTCCATTTACATCTGAGACATCCAGAACGCTCTAACTTCTCTGAGGGTAGAGACTGTGTCAGTTTATTTTTTCTTTGCCTTCACACTGCCAGGCATATATACCAGGAGGCTTTTGGTTAGTGTCAAACAAATGATGCGTTAATAGATTTCGATAGAATTTTACAACCTAAAAGCATTTACTATCCCAAGTGATCTTCACAAGAAACCTTTGAAGAAGGGCCCACCGAATAGTTTAGCGGATTAAAGCGCCTACTATACGGGCCCCGCCCCCAGGGCGAGGGAGACTGGGCGAGGGGGCGCACTCTTGTAATCCCAGCTCTTGGGAGGCTGTAAACAGGCAGATCACTAGGAGTCCGATCTAGTAGTAAGACCCTGAACACCCTGTAGACCCTTCCCTAAAACACAAAAAATAAAAACAAAAAGAAACCTTTGAAAAAGATAGCCATTTTATAGCCAGTAAAGTAGAGTGAGCTGCGGAAAGTAGAGCAGCTCACCTAAATTCACCTTCTAAGCCTAAGACCTTAGCAGTAAATGCATTAATAAAGGCATCAAACCTCAGCCTCTAACACATTTCACCCTGAATTGAAGAATGCTTATATCTGTGTACCAAGAATCCAAATTGCCATGCTGAGATCTGCCTTCTCTTGCTGTTTCTCAAAGGATCAAGTTCTGAAGGGTTTCTCCAAGCCACAGCAATCTAATGTTTTAAGGAAGTGAATGTGAAGAATACTGAATTGGGAGTCAAAAAAATAAGGATCTCAGCTAGGCACGGAGGCGCAAACCTCTAACTCCCAGCACTGGGAAGGCTGAGGCAGAAGGATCGCTATGAGCTCGAGGCAAACCTGAATTGCATAGCAAAACTATGTCTCAAAAAAAGAAAGAAAGAAAGAAAGAAAGAAAGAAAGAAAGAAAGAAGAAAAAGAAAGAAAAGAAAGAGGTTTCAATTGTAGTTCTAACTCACTAGACAAATCTCATTGAGTGTGTGTCATAGTTTGTTCAAAAAGGGAGAGCTGAATTAAATTGGTTCTCAAAGCTGGGAACTCTGGAACTTTCTAAATCTGGTTATGAAAATAGGGGGTTCTGGAGACCACCTAGACCCATGCACACCTCCCTTTCCAAAAAGTAACTAACTCATAGAGCTCAGTGATTAGAGTCGGGACCAATTTTAACATCCACTAATCAAGGAAATTAATGTTTCAGCGTGAGCTCTAGAAGCCAGGCATGTGATTTTTCAGAGCGCAGTGGATTCAGAATTACTCTCTAAGGTCAGTTGATGGAGGACACAAGGTGACCATCCCTCACCAAGGCAGGATCCTTGACTCTGACCAAACACCAATATGGTATTATTGACTTGTAGTACACCAGCAGCTCAGTTCTTATCTCGTGATTACTACCCACTCCTCCAGTCCAAGGTGATAGCCACAAAGAATAGCTTCAGAGCTCAGAACATATGAGAACTTCTACTGTAACGTCATGTAACTTAGTAGTGTCCCAAATTTTCTGATCAAGGAGATTATGGGGCCAAAGAGGAAAGTGATCGGTGATGTAGAGTGTGCCTAAGGAGAGTCACCTGGAGAGAAAACATTCTCTCAGGCTTTCACAGAGAGCACATTGGCCAAGCAATGGCCGTGACTCATCCACATGGCTGACACTGACAAAGGATCTACAATCTGAGATACAGGGTATCAGGATAAATCCTGAGGGGATTTCACTGACCTTATCAGATCCAAAAGCTACAACACTTGTTGCATAGGTCTTGCTTTATCTTGGTCTTAACCATCCAGCAGAAAAGTATAAAAATAAAGTATAAGAAGTAAAGGAGGGGCTGGGGAGATAGCTAAGTTGAATAAGCGCCTGCCTGGCAAGCACCAGGGCCTGAGTTCAATCCCCAGCTCCACAAAAAAAAAAAGAAGAAGAAGAAGTAAAGGCATACAGTTATGTTGAGCTGTAGGGGACTCAGGTCAACAATTTCTGACACTGCCAGTCAAGAGGAAGACCCAATACTATTATGGGTTACTGGACTCTTTTAGAATATTTTGCTGAGTTTACACACCTATAATATTCAAATGACGGAACTAAACAAAAAAGGGGATACAGATGAATATCCATTTTGTATCTGATAATTCAAAATGGTTAGGATAGATATATAGTTACATTCTCTTAATGAATAAAGGAATTTGTTGTAGTAATGTTTGTAAATAGGATATCATGTCTGCATCTTGTACAGCAAACAACCACTACGAAGAGAGTATGCAATGTGTTAATTATTGTGTCATACCAATTTGGTTTGAAACTGTCTCGTTGCTATTTGTCTCTCAATAAAATTATGGGAAAAAAAAAAAAAAAGAATAGCTTCAGAGAACCTCTCTATGGTCAGAGACACCCAGACCCCTGCTCGGGAGTACAGCTCCACCCACTGGGCTTCCTGGTCCCGCCCACTGCCCGCCTAGCAAGCAACACCCTCGTTGCCATGGTGATCTCCTGCTATGCTGCAGCGTCCGGAAGTCTCTTCTCTGGCTACGGAGCCAAGACCCTTGGGACGCTCTCGTTGCTATGGTGATCCCTTGTGCAAAGTGCGTGCGGAACTCCTTCCAAAGTCAGTCCAGCCCACATCCCGCCCCCAGAGTCTGGATTCGTCGAACGCCCCCGCGGTCCCTTGTGGCCACGTTGCCGTGGTGATTCTGCACCGCTCTACAGCGCTAGGCCGCGCGGAGCCTTCGAGCCTTCGCTGGCGTGGTAAGTGCGTCCACCCGCCTTCTCTGCCCGCCCCAGTGCAGGCCTAATGCAGAGGCTATAGTCGCAAGGGTACCTTGTCCCCTGCCCGACTACTAGTGCCAAAACCTGAATACAGCGTACAGCCCCGGATTTCCTCATTCTTGAGCACCCAATCTGTGCCAGGCCCGTACTGGTCCAGGAACTTGGTCAGGTCCGGGGGCGGGGGGGTGACACCAAGTGGCCTTGATCAGGACCATTACCGGGGGAGGGAAGGCTGGACATGAAAAGAATACGGAGGGATGTTGAATAAGCTTGAGGAGACGGGCGGGGTGAGAAGGCGGGAAAAGCCTGAAACGTAAGGCCCCCACGTGACAATTCAAAGTCGGCCTCCCTCCTGCTTAGACATTTGGGAGAGCCCTGTCTTCAGATTCCCAGGCAGGGCGGAGCAGCGCCCTGCACCCAATGCCACCTGCACAGTAAAAGAGGTGCCTGACTTTCTGTCTCCGGATCAGCAGTCCTCTAACTCTTATCAAGAGAGAAAATGAGACTTTTAAGTTCAAGAGTCTTTTTTTTTTTTTTAATGTGTGTGTTGGTCAGCTCAGCTCACCAGGGGGCGGGGCTGGTGTAGCATGTGGTGCCCGGGATGGAGCTGTGGTCCCTAGGCTTGCCTAGCTTGCCTAAGCAGGCACTTTAGGCCACTGAGCTATCTCACCAGCCCAAGGTTGGTTTTATATACAGAAAAAGACTAAGGAAAACAGAAACAGAATGAAAAGCAGAATGATTGTTTCAAAGTCACTTACAGATTTAAAACAAATGGTATTTTTCATCACGCTGGTTCAGGTAAACTGGGTTGGTTTGCTTTTGATTGAACGCTGTGAACCTTGTGGGGTTTTGTTTTGTGTGTGTGTGTGTGTGTGTGTGTGTGTGTGTGTGTGTGTGTGTTTTAACTGGCCCAATTCAGAGTCCAGTTCAATCATGTGACACCTAGCCTGAGTGATTCTGGCTTGATCTGGTCTGTTGGACCTAATGTAGTAGGCTCATCCAAATCAGCAGCCAACTCTAAATTGAATTTAACTTTCCCTTTTTCTCTCATTGGCTGCGCAGGACACTGGTAAAATGAGATCCTCCCTGATGCCTTTGGGGCCACCTGTGAGCCGGGACCGCATCATTGACACCTTTCCTAAGGTAGCGCTCCTATGGTACCCCCCCTTTATTTGTACTGTTTTCATGATCTTGGGATCATATCCAGCTTTCGCAGCCTACCATCACCCCCAGAAATGAAGCAAGTGAGGCTGGGGGTGTAGCTCAGTGACACAGCACCGACCTGGCAAGCACAAGGTTGAGAGTTCGATTTCTGATACCAAAAAAAGAAATAAAGGAGGTGAATCAGGTCTGTCTTCTTGAGAAGCTAGAAGACTGGGTCTTGGCGTGTCCAAATAGGCCAGTGGTAAGACAAAGCGGCAGCATGGCAAGTCAATCAGAGGGTCCTGGGCGTGAATCCTGATTCTGTCGTTAAGTTCCATAACCAGTGGTGAGTCACTCACTCTTAGAACCTAGCAGATACTGCTTCTCACACTGTCTCCCTGGCTGATTAAAAACAGGAGCCTCCTCGGAGTTGTGTGCAGTTACTGTCCCATTGTTATTACCGTTAGCAAAACAGCCCTCCAGGAGCTAGAAGGATAGCTCAGTGATAGGGTACTTGCAGAGCATGTACCTGGCCCAAACACCACAAAAAAATGAATAAATAAAAGAAAAATTAAACTCACAGCACTCCAATTTCTAGACCTCAAATCAGGGACTTTCTAGAACCCTTTGCCATAGTGCTAAAAAAAAAAAATCACAGCTCCCTTCTGTCTTTAGTGAAATCCAGTATTGACTGCATCCGGGAATGCAAATCAGTATGACCTCTCTTAGTGACTGTGAAATTATATTTACCAACATTGCCAGTGTCTCTGCCCGCTGATACAGCCGTTCCATTTCTAGACATTTACTCTGCAGATACCCAGGAAGGGGTGGAAAATGTGCACAGGACCAGGTATTACAGCAGTTCATGAGTGCAGGTCAGACATGTCACTGTCCTCAGAGAAGGGTCTGATTGAAGAGGTAATGCTACTTCCTGACATGGACGGAGGCAGAATGAGGTAGCTCCTCTGGTGCCAATGAGGGCCGAAGTGAATTGGTAGGTAAAACACAAGGGGTGGAGATGTGTGTCCTGAGCTGGGTATAGTACGCTCTTATGTGTATAAAAAAGATGAGCTGGGGATGTAGCTCAGTAGTAAAGTACATACTTAACATGCACAAGTGGGCTTTGTCTGTGGTACTGTAAAAAAGAAGAAATGTCTGTGTTGTTAATACATGCATAAAATATTTCTGAAGGTTACTTAAGACCCTGTTGTCAGTAGATGCCTACATTGGCTTAGGACAGTCGTGTAGGAAGACCTATCCACCCAATGTCTTTTGGATTTTGTGCCCAGATTGGGAAGGAAGAAGAATGTAGCTGTAGGCTCTGGGTGTTTGGGGTCTTCAGCCATTCCCTCTTATCCTCCTACTGAGTTCCTTCTCTATACACTCATGGGGAGGGTCTTAGTGCCTCAGACCTGTGAATAATTCTCGCACGTTTTCCCTTACAACACAACTCACGCCATTGTCTTTCCTGTAGAGCTTGACAGCCCTAACAAGGCTGATAGGTGGTGATATTTTATGAGCTAGAGGAAGGGAAGCACAACTGGCACAAAATAGTCCACGTCTTTCGGACAAAGGACACCATTTACAGAGCAGGATAGCAAGGCTCAAAGAGATAGAGAAAATCATTGAGGTCAGCTAGCCCAGCTTTGTGGAGCTAGAATTGGCCAGGCTGAGCCTGGCTCTAAAACTCCCTACTCCAGGGAGGCAGCCTGGAGATCCCTCTTGTTTTCACAGAAAGTGGGATACTGTCCTTCCTGTCTACAGTCATCAGAGAATCACAGGCCAGTGTTAGCCACATCTGCCCTGCACTCCAGAGCCAGACAACTTCAGACTAGGAATTCTCAGTGAGATCCACTGAGTCCACCTTGTACCACCCTAGGCAAATTCTTCCCTGCACTTTGTGTGCCTCAGTTTCCCTGTCTCTGAAGTTGGCTCTCATTATCTACCCTGTGGCCTGCAACATGACAGGAACCAGAATGCTAATGAGGCTGACAGCCTGGAGGCTCAGGAGAGAGGAGAGGCAGGAAGGTTGGGAAGTAGATCGCCACCACGGTTTCTGGCTTGGGTGACAGGGCTGGAGCTTTGCAGGAGGAGATGCCCACCTGTCTGTCTGTCTCTTTGTAGTGGTACACGCCTGACGCCTCCCTGCAGCTGAAGGAGCACTTCCACGGGCAGGTCAGCGCAGCTTGCGAGCGCAGGAACACCGGGACTGTTGGGTAAGCCTGCAGACCTGGGGGTGTGGGGGAGACATGGCCAGAAGGAACAATCAAAAGAATGCATGGATGAAAAATGAACAAATGAAACACACAGACCAGGCAGGTGCTGCCCAGGCCTGGGGCTTTTGTCTGGCTTGACATGACACACTCTGCCATGTGAACTTTTCCTTTTCTCGGAATGTCACCCGCAGGACTCCTGAGCCTGAGGTCTCAGAAAAGGTCTGTTTCCTCTGTCTGGAACATCTTTTTCAACTCCTTCTTGGGACCCCCGTGGGTCAGATCCTCTGAAAGCCTTCTTTAACCCGGGCCACCCCTGCTCGTAGCCTGAGCGGAGCAAGTGCCCTTCCTGCATGCTCCTGAGCCCAACACTTATGTCACAGAATCGTAGCTTTGCTGTCTGGATTCCTTGTAAGGCCAGGGCTTTCTCCTGCTTCTGCCCCAGCAGCACCCACCTGTCACCACTAGCACAGGGATTTTGCAATAGTCCCTTCTTTTAACAAACAGATCTGAGGGCTTGCTTTGTCCTTCAGCCTGAGGCACCCACAGTCTTACTCGGGAGCCCAGCTTAGAGGTTCCAAGGCTGCGTGAGGGAGGCAGAGCTCCTGTCAGAATTTTGGCTCCAGCACTCGTGCTCGTGGGGCTAGACTAATATCAGCGGGGGAGTGTGGTCCATCTCAGGGCTCCACATAGGTGATCTCCCTTGCCTCTTACTGGAGGTAGGGAAACTGAGGTACCAAGTGATAGGTTCTGGCCCTAGTGTGAATTGCTGAACCTTTATGGGGGTCGTCTAATATGGTTGAAGCCCTTAAAACAACAGCCCATCTTCCCCAAGACCACCTCCCCCTTCTCCACTCACTCCAGGGTACAGTCTCCTTTCACCCTTCCCACTGCCTCAGGGAAGACCCCCCCAATCAGCTCTTCAGGTATATCTAAACATCCCCCTCAAACTCCACCCCTGGCAAAAGGTCATAAAAGCCTCAGCCTCCCTTTGTTCAGCTCCAGAGAATCCTCATGGTCCCCAGATTCTCTCTATGTCCTTAAAGATAATAAAGCTCCTTTCCCTTTTTCCTTCTGCCTGTTTCTCTGCTGCGCTGGAGCCTGAAAAACCCTATCCCCAAGGCCCCCACTGTAAGACCCTGGCAGTACCCTTCCTTTTTCACCTGACAAAGAGAGTCAGGGCCAAGCTGCTGCAGGAGGTGTGGGCAGGCTGGGAGAGGTCTTCACAGATGTGTCGAGGTAAATGACAGGCCAGGACACCAGGTGATACAGAGGGATCCGCTTGTGGCTTGCACGCAGAACAAGTGCCTATCAGATGTTTGCCCAGGTTTGTTGCTTCAGTCATTGAGGTCCTTTGGTATGAGCTGGAGAAGTTATTTTTCTTCCAGCCCTGGGGATTGAACTCCAGACTACTAAACTACAACCCTAGCTTTTTTTTTTTTTTTTTTTTTTTTTCTTTAGAAAAATCCGAGACAAGCTCTCACTAAATTACCTGCACCGGCCTGAGCTTGCAATCCTCCTGCCTCACTCAGCCTTCTGAGTAGTTGGGATTACAGGCATGTGCCACCATCCTCCAGTCTGTAGAAAATCCAGAAGTGATATCAGCAATCCCAGAAATGCCAGTCCCCAGAGTGCAGGACACACATCCACAGGGTAAGGGGGGCAGCTGCTCCCAATGAGCAATGTCCCCAACAAGCCCAAGAACCTCAGAGGTGATTTGCTTTAAGCCCCAGCCCCAGCATACAGATCCTCACTTCTAAGCACAGCACACCTCTTGGCTAGTCAGGTCCCTAGAAACCCTTCCAAGCGTGCAGGGGACAGTGGCGTCATGGTCAAGGAGTATGTGCTTACAAGGAGCCCGGCTCACACAGGTGGACAGTCCAGGGATGCACATGTTTGTCATACATGATGTTTATATTTCTTGTGGGAAATGTACATAACGTATCTGAATCCCTTTTCTCGTCCCCTTCCCTTGCTTCTCCCTCTTCCTCCCATCCTTTGATCCCCTCCCCTCTTTTTTTGCTACATGTTTGCTCTGTGTCATCTCTACATTCCTTGTGGGGAGTGAGCACATACCTAACATGTCTTAATTCCTTTTTGCATTCCTCGTCCCTCTCCTCCTCCTTACCTCCACCTCTGGCTCCCCTTCCCCTATGAAGAAGCTCTCTCTCTCCCTAATTCTTATTATCTACAGTTTTACTTTTCTCTTTTATTTTTACTTGGGGTTTTCTCATGTAAGAGAAACCGCATGGTGTTTAAGCTTCTGTGTCTGATTTATTTCACCGAACATTATGATCTCTAGGCATGTACATTTTTGTACAAATAACTCCAGTTTATCCTTCTTCATGGCAGAGTAGTGCTTCACTGGGCGTGAATACCATATTTTCTTTATCCATTCATGTGTTGATGGCCATATAGACCACTTCTAATTCTAAGGTTTAGCTGTCATGAATTGTGCTGCTAGAGTAAAATCTAGGATGGAAGGGTAAGTCACCACAGAGAGCTCAGGGAAGCAAAGGCCGGTGTGTGCTAAAAATACTCTTGAAACCGAACTTCAGTGTGATGTAGCCATATTTCTTCCAGGCTCAAGCTGTCCAAGGTGGTGGTTGTCGGCGATCTCTATGTGGGGAAGACCAGTCTCATCCACAGGTATGCTCTGCTAGCCTCCTTCCCCCAGTCAGGTCAGCCACCCCTCGAAACACCAGCACCAGGTCGTCATACCTTCTGGGGAGACCCAGATAATATTTGTCATAGCGGGAACCAGGTGGATGCCAGGATGTGGGCCTCTGCCTCAGCCTGGTAGGAGCCAGATGGGAGAAGGGGCAAGATATCCAGGCGATGGTGGGATTGACCGACAGTGGGGACTCTCCGGAAACTGGCACTCATCACACTGTCCTCGTGGGGCCTCAGCTGGCCCCTCCACTGGTCTCCCTGGGAACAGACTCAGTTATTCTTACGGGGGGAGGCAAACTTGCAGTGTTTGCCTTCTGGGCTGTCACAGTCCATCTTCCCTTATTACCTTATTGGTGGCCCTGTGGCTGTGCTTTGGATAACTGTGCCCCCAGAGTTCGTGTGTTAAAGGTTTGGTCCCAGTGACGATACCATTAGGAGGTGGCAGACACTCTCAGCGATAGCACCTAGTAAGAGGTCTTTAGGTCACTGAGAGTGTGCCTTCGACGGGGACGGTGGCACTCTGCTGCTCCTTCCTTTTTGCTTTGTGGTCATGGCTTTATTCTGCTACATGCTACCACAATGATGGGCTGCCTTGCCGTAGGCCCAGAGACAGTCATGGACTGAAATCTCTTAACGCGGAGCACCAAAAACCTTTTCTCTCTCTCTCTCTCTCTCTCTCTCTCTCTCTCTCTCTCTCTCTCTCTCTCTC